GCTGCAGGGTACTTGCTTCTACTTATCTCCACACTATTTGAAAGGTTACCAGAAGAAAGCAGCATTTCACAAGCAAAGACGACCATTTGTAGTACATGAAAGTGTAGCACATTCTATACAGAATTGTGTCTTCACAATACAAATTGTCTTAAAACACATTTCGCTCATTTGTTAAAAAACCTGATAATTTTGGGAACAACTGAAAAAAACAAACAACCCCAAACAAGAGAACTGGGTGGAAATGCCTTATGTGGGAATGTACCATGCGTAGTTCTCATGATCATACATACCAGACTGGGACATTGCTATTTAATGATAATGTAAGAATTGGAACGCGGGTGGCGCTGTGGGTAAAACCTCAGTGCCTAAGACTTGCCGATCGTATGGTCCCCGGTTCGAATCCCCGCGGCGGGGTGAGCTCCCGTCGTTCGGTCCCAGCTCCTGCCCACCTAGCAGTTCAAAAGCACTCTTAAGTGCAAGTAAATAAATAGGGACTGCTTTATAGCGGGAAGGTAAACGGCGTTTCCGTGTGCTGCGCTGGTGCTGGCTCGCCAGCTGCAGCTTCGTCACGCTGGCCACGTGACCCGGAAGTGTCTGTGGACGGCACCGGCTCACGGCCTCTAGAGCGAGATGAGCACGCAACCCCAGAGTCGGACACGACTGGCCCGTACGGGCAGGGATACCTTTACCTTTAAGAATTGGAATGGCCCAGGTGCTTTGATGGATACTTAAATATTTAAACCACTGCAGATTCAAGAAAATTCTCCTTTCCCGGCCATTTATTTATTTATTTTCCCAGCACCCACGCAAAGCTGCAATCGTATAAGTAAATCACATGTAAGTTGTGGGTCTAGTGCATAGAGTTTGACAAACTCAAATACATTAAGTCAAAAATTTATATTCCTAAGACCACCACTAAGTTCCACGTAAAGATATACAACTGGTAGGAACTAAAGATGGATTTACACTCTTAAGTAACCATACGTTCTGCCAGAACAGTACTACAGTAGACCACCTGTTCTGAAGACTCCTACAGCTATGGCTGCATGTGCCGTCAGAGGGGTATGAGTAAGGGTCTCCTTCAAACCAATTAGATTTAAGAGGGCTACACAAAAAACAGCAGAGTTCAATTTATCATATTATTGTGTGAACTGAATACAAACTACAGCATTATTATTATAATTATGTTACGTTTGTATACTGCCCTTCATCCAAAGATCCCAGGCCAGTTGACAAAAGAAAAATGCAAAATGACAACAAATTCCATAACAAATCGGCATGTCAAAAGGATGCACTTTAGACACACTTCCACATGCCAACAAATTCCTAGAATGCTGCTAATGCAGACTGAACTACATCCCTACCTGCATATAAGAACTCAAACGTGCTTCAACTGTATCACTGCCTCACTACCAGCCCTTTGCACTAAACTAAAGATAGCCAACGTGATGCCCTCCATATATTGTTGAACTAGAACTCCCATTGCTGACCATTAGACATTTTTATTTTGGCTAATGTAACCAAGCGAAACCTCAAATAAATAAAGGAAATAAAACTAAATGATTTAACCTGGGGAGATGGGAAATACAAGAAATTGTAGATTTGAATTACATTGTACACTGGCAAGCATACCTTTACATCGGTGTTAAAAACTGAGATATGAAAGCTAGGAACTAAAAGGCTCCTTAAACTGAGGTGATGGGCGCAACAACGGAATGTCTGGGTGTGCTTTTTTATAACAAGAATACAATACAAATGAATGAACTTCAGCTAAAATATTAAGTTCATTTTTCACACAGTCTAGTCCACCCCCCTAATATTCTTAGGCAGGACTCTTCTCCAGTCTTCATAGAGTAGCAGGAAGTGGGGAGGCAGAAAAAGGTCCTCCTTTCCTTCCACTCTGTAATTTTAATTTGAAATCTCAGGTGCAGTATTGCACCCAGAGCTCAGAACCTGCTTGCACTAATGAAATTCCATCACAAAATGTGCCTAGAACAATGGGAATTTCAAACACTGTTTCACCTATATCATGTCTACTTCGTGCATTATATTTTTCCTATATAGACATACTGACAAAACACGTACACTTTTGACTTTCACAAGTCACAGCTTTATGCATTCTTGAAAATATACAAAAATTATAAGCAAGTGTTTATGAAGCAAAATGGGCAGTTTTTATACAAGAAAATGTATGAAGCAGCTTTTGCCTGATGCACAATAATATCAAAGGCAATACAACCTTTGATTAGCTAGAATTCTGTAGCTGTACAATTGACCATCTTGTGTAGGCAAAGCCATAGTGAAATTTCATGTACTGTGAAACAAACTGTGACCATAAGAAATGTTCTACTGTGATGCTAGTTTAAGCTGTTCCTCATGCATAGCTGCATGCTCCATGGAGTTCAGATGCAATTTTAAAGTCTAACAACCATAAACAAAAATGGCTAGTGGCCAATCCAAACACTCCATAAATATTTTTTTCCACGGAAGCAGGTAATTTCCTTCCATATCATTATTACATGGTCCTGGGGCAGCAGGTTCACTTTCAGCAACCCAATCAGTAGCCTGCAACCACTGGTATAATGAAAGGAATAAAATTTACCTCTGAAAGCAAACAAACTTATTTGACTGTCCCACAGATAATAATTCACCCCACAACTATTATAATCTGCTGCAGGTGAGAGAAGGGATAAAGAAGAATCAGGAAGCACTACACAAGAGCCAGGAGGTCATAATACAGTGGTAACTGCTTCAAGAACATATCTGAGCCCAACCTCCATATAGTTGGGACTATTGCAGCTGTTGGGACCAGAGGGATATTAATTAAATTGTGATAAACTGTTCTTGTTCAGTTCCAACTTTACTAAAGCACTGGCAAATGCATTCTCAGAAAAAAAATCCTCTGCAAGAAACCAAGAGGGGAAATTACCATCATTACAGAGTAATAAAAACAACAACTGCAGGTCAGGTTAGTGTGAGACTCTGCCTATGTAATAGGTTGCATGCTATATCCACACTGATTTACTGGACAGCACAATTCTAAGCTTGTTTATTCAGAAGTTCCACTGAATTCAATGTGGTTTACTCCGAAGTACGTTGAGTTTGGACTGCATCCTTCACCTTGAAATGCGCAATTTAGCATTTTCAGACTTAGTCCCTATTTCACTACTGCAACTGTATAACTTAAGGTGAATAATCACTTTGCCCCCAAAGAAGCCTACTAGCAATGTTGATCAATTTTTTTGGGAAATTATTATAAACTTTATTAGCTTAAATTAAAATTGCAATAAGACAAGCATTCAGCTAAAAGAAAGCAAGGATGACCGCTGATTTTATCATAACACGCACTATGTATATGAACACTTACAAAAAGCATCCAACATTATGTAAGGACCCATCTATACAAAAACCATTATCACCACACACAATCACTAAATATCCACTTATGTTACTACTAAGTGGCCACTCTCTGCGGACTAAATAAAATTTTTTAGTTTTGCAGTTGTTCTAACAAACGGTAGTCTGTTCTAATCATGATCCACTTCTACCTAGTGAAGCTTTCCAGACCTGCTAAGAATGCAGCCCTCAAACCCCACCCCACTAAAGGCTCCTCATATTAAGTGCAGGGTTTCTACTGGACCACCCGTCAGATATCTGCGTTATAATCCAAATCTACCGTTAGATCCCACTGAACTACATGGCACCGCTTTAAGGCTTTTGTTGATTTGTTGACTGCGGGGGCAAAGGTTGGGAAGGGAGAAAGAGCCATTACGTGTGGTCCTCACAGAGGCACAAACAGCGCGCAGCCGTTTGTACGTACTTAAATCGGGCAGTTAAGGAATCGGCCGCCGGCAACGCTCCGAATCGGGTCGCAAGCGAAAGATCCGCTGCTGCCTCTGCACACCGTTGCCAACTGCGGCCTTGTTAGGCGGGACGCCGCTTGCCGCGCATCCTCCGGGCCTTTCGCTATCAGGCTACAGTGCCGCTACACAACAGGAAGCCAATAAATGTGCCGGTCCCGAGCCAGGAGACCAGCCGGCACAGCCCCCCCCCCCGCAACTCGCAGGGGGCCAAGGCACGGCCAGACCCGCTCACGGGGGGAGCCAGGTGGGGGCGGCGCCGGGCAGGAGTAGCGGTCGAGCCAGGCCTACAGGAACCGCAACCTTTGGCAGGCAGGGCACGGAGCGGAGAGGCGGAGCCGCCTGCCTCGCGCGCGCCCTGCTCCGAGGACACCGGGCAGACCGGCGCCCTCTCGCAGCGGAGCCTCCGCTAGCGCCGCCGCCGCCCTCTCGCCCGCCCCGCCGCTCTCCCTACCGGAGCCGCGGCCGCTACTACCGCCGCTTCCCCCTCCTGCTCGATGACAAAATGGCGGCGGCAGGAAGTACCATCAGCACCCGCCCCGCCCAGGTTCGCTTACTGCGCCACCCGCGCACGGGATCCGGGCGCCCTCGGCGGGAAGGCCCTCCGCCGTTTCGAATATGCATCCCAGCCAGCGGAAGGCCCGATGTGCAAGAGCGGCGCGAGGGCCGCCCACAACGCACCCCGGCCTCATAGCGGTACAGGCGGAGGGCACGGACATACTTACGGCAATCACGTACCCTTAAAGGGAGCAGCGAAGCAGCGCTTACGGAAACGGCGTAGCCACCATAAGCCTTCCACACCACCTACCGCAATCCGCGTAACCGTGCGAAATAGCGAGCCACATCTTGTTCCCGATTAACCCACCGTGAAACTTAGCCGTCCACCGCGAAAATGCAGAGGGGAGTGGGGTGGGAGAAGTTGCCCTGCTCACGCGCGGGCACGGGACACCAGAGACACCAGGCAGCGTAGGCTGAGGAGGCTCGCGTAAGACCTTTGCGCAATAGGCCTCGACGCAAAAAGCGTAAGTCGCCTGACGCAACGGTCACATTACGCAATGCGGGTTACGCCGACAAGACAACGTAACTGAACAAGGAGAATACCAACCCCCGCAGCCTCTCCCGGCCCGGCCCAGCTCTTACCTGACGGCGGGCGGAGAGCCGGAGAAGGCCGCGTTGTCACCAGCCTCCTACCAGGCCAAATCCAGCAAAGCCCTGAGTGAAGGGGAAGCGCCGCACTCCGTAGGGAGGGTCGGGGACCACGGCGAACAGACCAGGGCAGAGAGCGACGGGCAGCGGGACCAGCAACGGCGGGGCTGCACTGACCTCACCACGCAGCGCGTTACGTCACCACGCAACAAGCCACGCCTCGCGCAGGGCACAGGACTTCGAATCCAAGGTTCCCTTACCTCACGGCCACGCCCCTTCGAGTAAGGAGCCCTCCGAGTGGGCGCCGGGAGGAGCGCTCCTCAGTCGGGCCAGGAAGACGGCGCGTGAGGGTTAGCGTAAGGCAAGCGGGAGAGGGAAGGAAGCTGCGTCGCCGCCGCCGCCGCCGCCGCCTCGCAAGCGAATGATGGTGCTTGGGAGATGGGGCTTACCGCCCCACAAAGGTGCTGCTTGCTCTTTGAAGAACGTAGGAACTGCCGCTCTTGTCTCCAGTCCTTCCCCCGCGCGCCCAGCACAGATACCCGGAAACGTGACAGAACAAACTTTGCTCGTTAGAATGCACCACATCCCCGTTTCTGATCTCGCCAGCGGGTCTAATCCGACCCCGCGGATAAATTTGCTACTGCCAACAGTCAGGGAATTAATTGCCCACGAAAGCGTTTAGCAAAGACTACCATCATGTCACATAGCTCTCCTGCTTGTTAGTCCGCTGACCGGGTTACTTTTGAGCTCTAAGGCTGTTGGTGCTCGATGATAATAATAATAATAATAATAATAAAATATTATTCCACGGGGCTGGGAATTCTGTGGCGCTTCACTCTGCCCAGTTGCACGCATGGGAATGCGGCGCTATGACACATAGAATATACCAGCCTTTCAGACAAAAGCAAGCCCTTGGTGCACCACCAGTCCCGAAAAAGATGCTAAATACACAGTGGAAAAGGCGACGGGGACCAGTTTCTTCACTACAAAACAACCCCCAGTGGGAACCTCATTCGCAGAATAAGCTAGGCCCTTGCTCTTCCCAGCTCGTCATTATTCTTTCAGCAGACCGGAAAGGAAGATTATAGAAGAGGGAGCCTTTGTTCACCTACTGGAGCAGAGGACTTGGATCGTAAACTCTCATCTCCGATCCACAGCGCCTATGGCGACATGGGCAAGCTGCCTTTAAGGTGGAAGCACCGGAAAGAACCCTATCTATTTTATACTTGATATTTCTCATGTATATATATGGGTGGGGGAAGAGAAGGCTCGACTCGAAGCAGGTCAATCGTTCAGCACTCCCTTTCGTCCACATATTCTGAAGCAGGAGGTCAATGATACCTATAAAAACACGGGCATACCTAAGCATAGCCTTAGTTAAAGGTAAAGGTAAGGTAAAGTAAAGGACCCCTGGACAGTTAAGTCCAGTCAAAGGCAACTATGGGCTGCGATGCTCACCTCGCTTTCAGATCGAGGGAGCTGGCGTTTGTCCACAGACAGCTTTCTGGGTCATGTGGCCAGCATGACTAAACCACTTGCGGCGCAATAGGACACGGTGATAAGTGCCAGAGCACACTGAAATGCCATTTACCATCCCTCTGCAGCGGTACCTACTTGCACTGGTATGCTTTCAAACTGCTAGGTTGGCAGAAGCTGTGACAGAGCAATGGGAGCTCAACCCATTGTACGGATTCAAGTTTTAGTACCCTCAAGCAACACAGTTCATCTTACTTGTAATAACTATTAAATGAATGGAAACTTCCCAGCTGCTGTCCTCGTGTAACAGGGCGTGTAGTGGACAGTGAGAAACATTTAATAGGAGACAGAACAGTGGCCATTTAGTAGCAGGAGAAGATCACAAGGTTGCCTATGAACTGTTAAAAGTATTGCTAGCTTTAGAAATGGGATGACCTTCTGCGTAATTCAAGAAAGGTGCCATCTAGGCCGCTTTCCAAACTAGAACTATAGCAGTCAGCAGCTATATCTTATGTGAAGGAAAGTGGCAGCTTACAACAAAACCCAGAAGTTACTTCGACATTTAAAACATTTGGGCTGCTTTCCTACATTCCTACTTGAGAGTAAGCTGGAGTAGTGGTTAGAGTGTTAACAGTGCTATTTTTCTATATATAAAAAAGAGGTGCTTGAACTTGCCACGAACGCCTCCCTTGTTTCTCTTATAATAGCAATGGTGCCCACCTGAGAGGTGCTGGAACTGAGTTTTGGCTGTGAAAAAAAAGCCCTGTCAGATTAGGACCAGGTTTTAAGTCCCAACTCGGCCAAAAATGTGTGCAGCAGTAGCACACTCACCAAACTGAGTGACCTTTGGCCAGTCACTTTCTTGACCCAACTATCTCACAGGACTGTTGGAAAGATGAAATGGGAAAGAACACCTTGAGCTCCTTTGAGGAAAGGAGGGATCTAAATGCAATAAATAAGCCCCATTAATTTATTTGTACCTGAGCGTACAAATAAAAGAGGAGTGTCATGTCTACTCAGAAACACTGGTAGTGGTGTAGATATAGGAATGCATATGTTAATGAGGTAGGTTATCTGTAATACTGGAATAGAACACTAATGCACCTATCATAGGAACTTTGGGAGCTGCCATATATTGAAGCAGATCATTAGTCCATCTAACTCAGTAATGAGTTATGCTCACTGTATGCTCTCCCACTTACAAATGCTCCTATATAATGGGGAAAATGTTACCTTAGCCAGATAAGTTATGTGGGCTTTTTGTGTGTGATTTACAGTACAGTGGTACCTCGGGTAAAGTACTTAATTCGTTCCGAAGGTCCGTTCTTAACCTGAAACTGTTCTTAACCTGAAGCAGCACTTTAGCTAATGGGGACTTCCGCTGCCGGAGCACGATTTCTGTTCTCATCCTGAAGCAAAGTTCTTAACCTGAAGCACTATTTCTGGGTTAGTGGAGTCTGTAACCTGAAGCGTATGTAACCTGAAGCGTCTGTAACCTGAGGTACACTGTAGTTGTAACTTCCCTCATATGAACAAAAGTTAACTGCTAGTGAAGACCATAAATCGAAGCTTAGCATATACGGTACATGTCATAGGACCACAAAGAGATAATCACCTTTATAACTAAATAGTCTGCAGGCAATGAGAGAACCTGGTCTGGAGCTGAGAAACTGCTTTACCCACAAGATTATACAATAAATTAACAGATAAATGCTAATCATTGACTACATTCAGACAAATTTTCAAATTTGTAAAGAACATGATTGAACAATTATTCTGCTCCCCCCTTTCCAGCCAGCTCCTAGCTCTAATCAAACGGGTTTTTGTCATGCATGCTTCATTACTTTGATGACAAAAGCAGACCCAAGGAAAACAGAGTCTGATTTGCAATATACTGTACTATACAAAGCACATGCCAAGGAGTGGTCCATCACAAAGGAGTAAAAGGAGTGTTCTGCTCTCAAGGAAAGAGAGGGGAACAAGTAATGGTTCATCTCAGGCATGCCAATCTCAGTAGAGTACCAGCTGTTTTGGCAGGGACCTGTTTTAACCTGTATAACCTGCTAACTATGAGAATGTCCACTGTTCAAGGTTCAATTGCACGAAGATGATTTTGTTATAGATGCAAAAGCTGCCCTCATGGAGGTAGAATATGGGGCAGGAATTACTACTTCTTAATGTGAAGTGGGAATTGACCGATTACACTGCTCTGAACTATGGCTGCAGCTACTTAAGGGAGGATCGCTCACTCTTCTATCTTAGCCTGATTGTCATGTAATAATTGGCAATTCCTTCATGCAACTTTCTATTGTTACCGTTCCTTTTATTCAGTGATAAACCATTAAAGTGCTTATTGAAAAAGAACCATTTGTGGTGAAATATAAGAATGGGAAGTTGCATGAATTAAAATAATGGTATCAATATTCATATAGGAAGCTTCCTTATACCAGGTCCAACTATTTGTCCATGTAGTACTGTGCTGCCTCCTCTGATTTGCAGCAGCCCTCCAGAGCCTTGGCTGAGACTGAACCATTTAACTGGAAATACCAGGGATTGAATCTGGGCTGTGGTGTGTGCAAAAACACGTGCTCTACCACCAAGTGTCAATGCAAAGATAACTTCCAAGTAGTATCAAGTCGAAGTAGTGGGATATTCAGTTGAATGTGTCATATTCTCTTTTAAAGCCATCCACGGTGGTGATCATCACTCCATCTTCTGGGAGCAAGTTCCAGTTATTGTGTGAAGCAGTACTTTTGTCTGTACTGAATCTTCCACCATTATAACTTCATAAGGATGGCCCTGGATTCTAGTATGATGGATAAACTTTTCTGTCAACCTTCTCCACACTATGTATCATCTTATACACCTAAATCATACCCCAGCTTTTCTCTAAACTAAAAAGCCCTGAATGCTCTAACCTTTCCTTATGAGGACTTGGATAATTTTGGTTGTCCTTTTCTGAACTCTTCCCAGCTCTATAGTGTCTTGAAAGGAGGAAACCAGAACTGTATGCAGTACTCAAAGTGTTGTTGCAGTTTTATTTTCAACTCATTTCCTAACGATCCCTGGTCTCAACCTTTGGTATCAACCACAAGCCCGACTACCTCACTGCTCACCCTGGCTCTAGATTATCAATGAATGCTTTTGATATAGAAACTGGATTTAGTATTTATTCCTCTCCTTCAACCACACAGCAGAGATAAATTTATTTTCCATGTATGGTAGCTCTAGCATTAGCGTGTGTGGGATGTGTGTGTTCTAGACAGCAGTCAGTCAACTGCTCTTCTAACATGAGCAATAATGTGACCACATTGTTAAGACAGCACATGTTTTGGAGCCAACTAAATGTAAGATACTAGTTTTCAGATTCAGAAGTTTATTTAACTGCTAAGACAAAAGACTGGGGTTGTTGTTTTCTTTAAAAATAGTGCTCCATTCCACTCTTAAAGCTTTATACTATGAGCATCAATCCTAACACTCACAAATCTGCTTTTATTTTGCTGGTCTTGGTACTGCTTCAATACTCACAGGGCAATATTTGGCAATTCACTCCATGAATGATACGTTTGTGATTTTTATTAAGAGAATGGAGATTCATTGGTGGTATAACTTTTCTCCCTTAGGCTATGCCTCTGTACCAGCATAATGTACAAGCTGCAGCTTGCTAGCCAGAAAATCTGAAATAGTGCTCAGTAGAAACAATAACCCCAGTGTG